CCCTAGGATTTGTGAAAGTCTCATTCCGATCCGATGCCTTGCGCAACAGTTTAATGGCGCCTGCATTTTGTGACAAGTGTTAGATATCAGTAATGGAATAATTGATGTTAGGGCGAAGTTATTGCGCCTACGCCGTATCGGTCAAATCGACATCGTGTTTGAGTGAAGAATGAAAGGAAAACAAATGTAACTCATTACTAATCTACGCACCTACTATGCTGGTATAGGATCGTATACTGGAAAACAGTACGTTACGCTAATATTACTCTGTCTGATACGATATTTAAAACTACTCCAATCGTATCTAATAATTCGTTCCACAAGATAAAGGTAAAGGCTTGCATTGATTCAGAAATAAATATTTAATGAAAATTTTAAATTTTAGTAAATATTGAAGGAATTCCCTGTTGAAATCAAATTGAACAAACCTTTTTATATTTATCTCCTCTATACGTTGTTTTGTAAACATAAAAACCACCATAAAACATGGAAACCTACATTTGAACAGGGAAGGTAGTTGCTTTTCACAGTTGAGATCTTATCGGGTGCTAAGCTCGATAGGTAGCTGTTCTCTGCTCTTCGTTATCTGTTCATATAGATCCTATCATTTAAGCAACCATTATGGAGCTGAGGCCGAGAATCCCGAACCTTTTGTACCAAAGCTGGCTCTCTTGTTTTTGGATGCATATCATTAATTAAAAAAAATAGTTTTTTTTAGCAATTAAATTTTGCAGGAAGTCGATGGATGCAGTTGACTCAGGATCGTCCTTTGTGGCATTTCTTGGGAAAGGCCTGTGTTCAGCAGTGGACTTGTGAAGAGCTGTAATGACGGTGATGATGATGGTATATTTAAATAAACGCTACATGACCATTAACGTTTTTTCTTGCGTTTAAATTTCACTGTTTTCTATTTTTAATTAAAACTGTACTTAATAAAAATGTTGTTGAAGTTGTTGGTATACTATTATACACTGCCAGTTTGTCGAAAGAAACAATTAAAAATGCCAATATCATCACTAGTTCAACTGCTGGGTACATGCCGTTTCATAATACTAAGAAGGTTTTGGACCTGGGCAGCGTTCGCCACGCTACCTCAATATTTGATGGCTGACTTCACGTGTTTTTGAACATTTTTTTAATTACTCCAACCTTAAGTCATTCTTACCTGTTCACTATTCGAAAATGGCACTTAAAATTTCATTTAATAATTTTGTTGCTGGTGGGTTTTAAAACTATATTAAGCAAAATACTTAAAATAGTCGATGTTGTAATGCCATATTTTGAATAATGCAAATATGCATCCCTACACTAGTTTCCACTGGCTGTCTGCCAACTTACCATTGCATGTCATATGAAAAGTGATGATACAACATTTACCTAATGTTTGTTTATTTACAGAACTCGTAAAAATGTTATTAAACATGATTGTTTGTACCGCGTTCCGAACCCTCGGGCGGTGTTAGTAAAATGTAACTTGTTTACAAACTGCGACGTTTTCGAAGGTCGTACAATTAACGCGGTTAAACGCTAATGAAAACAGTTAATGCGGACATAATAAAACTTTTAATAGGTGTGTCATGTTTCATGGAGCAGTTGGGTGGTTAGCTCATAACCCCATTGTCGGGTAAATAATAATTGAAGCCTTTGTTTACATTACATAGCTTATAAACATTTCGAAACGCTCGTCTCCTGTTAGTTTGAACGCGACCTTGCTAGAGTGTTGTTAAGGTTTTGCTAATTACAATACAATGTTGTTTACTATTTTCAAAAGCAAATACCTAGGACTTTAATAAAACTTGAAACTCGATGAGTTGTCGTTTTTTTTTGTTTTTCTTCTTTTTACATACAATCTAACCTAAGTAAGTGAGAACTGGGTAAGCGGCCGTCATCGAGAAAACTGTAAGTAAGAATAAGAAGTTAGAAATAGAAATCTGTATAAGCGGCAGTCATTTTTTACTCGTAGGGACCTCTATTACTGATATATTTACTTGATTTTACTTCTATGAGCGATAGTTAAACGTATTTAAAATGTGCTCTTTACTGCATTGCATATATGTGCATTGTCATTATAAACATAAGATAAAGCCGACAAATCACAGATTTTGGATAGAAAGCAGATAAGTTCCAAAAAAAAAAAACACGCCGCTTTAAATACATCACAGACGCTCCACAAGTTTTTTGAATATTCGGCAGTTGCTGATAAAACATATTAATTTAATGAACTGGAAAAACATACACAAAATAAAAAACAGAAAAGCGGAAGAAATTAACGAATTTTGTCAAGTAAATGGTTTAAGATTTATAAATAATAAATAAATAAATATATAAATACTATGCCAAAATATTATTCTAATAATTGATATGATACCCATACATTACATACATATTTATCACTTCATATTTGCTGTAGTTTAAAGAGAGACAGATCTTTCCTGTACCTCTGTAAACTAGAAACTCGGGTTAGTGAAAAGCCTCCATATGTAAAAAAAAGAGATCACGGTTCCTTGAACTCTCGCCTATTTATGTTCGACTGTATTTTTTGGGTGCGATCTCCTCTCGTCTGGTTGTTTATACAGCAAAATACGCAGTAGTATAACAGGTCTATGGCAAAAGTACAAAATTTGCAGTCGTAAGCGTTAACAGATATTACTTATATTCACCATGACGAAATCAGCAAAGAGTTATGATATAGAAGAAGGTCTTACAATTTAAATATTTGTTTGCAAAATTATTATTAGAGCTTAGAATAAACTTAGCTGCGTATTATTAATAAATTATAATATATTTACATCTAAATGCTTACGCATTGTTATGGACAAGCAACGGAAAACTTATTCGTGACGCAACGCTATCGACACTATACGCCATTGTTGCAATTCGATGAACGCAAAAACGTAAAACACGTGTATGTAAACTCCAAGATTTTCTCTTGTCTTTTTTAACGTACATCGCCTTATAAATCTATATTGAACCGATATTATTTTAAGTCGTTATAAATTTTTAATTAATTTCGCAGCCTTGTAACTGACTGTGGGCTGCTACTGAGCATTTCTTGACAGAAAAATGCAATAAATGATTTTTTGGCCTGACCCGGAATTCGAATTCCGTGACCTCACGATCGACTACCGCGTTAACGACCCCTAGAACAACGATGCAGTCATCTAAACTGTTGCTGATGCTCTTTTATCCTAGAATATTGTTTTGTTTAAATATCCTAGGGTTAGGTTACCTTAGGGTTAGTTAATAATAAATATAGTATTTTTCCCAAAAAAGATGTTAAAATATAGTACTTTTGAGAAATTCAGACGAAAAAAATTTACACATTTAGGTTGTTAGATCATTGACGGCCAAAGCAAAGAGCAATAACAAATATATATGTAGAAAAATACATAGATTAAAAATAAATCATGCTCTTATCCTTTCTTCTTTCAATTTTACATCCGTAATGCAAAAAATTCTTTCCATAAAACTTATTTGTTCCAGACTTAAATCACAGTTAAAATAAATAAGCGCGACAGTTAAATTAGGGATAAAAATATACTATTCGTACTATATTATTTTTCCACAATACATAGTACAGTTGATTGAATATAGTACGATACTATATATTATAGTACGAGTGGCATCCCTAATTTTTTCATACATTAACATCGTTAGTAACCATCTGAGAGAATAGCATAGTACTGTAAATTAGGAATTTCTTAAATGTGTAGATCCTACAGTTACAGAACAAAATATGAGCTGGTTTTATTACTTGGATCAGTCTATTACCTATTTATAATATAAGGAAAAGTCTGTTACTAATCAGTTAGTTGAGAATATCAAGATTGATGGATTTTAATAATATATTTCTGTTTTTATTACCACGTTTTTACTAACTTGCTTTTGTGTACATCTGTTCGGCTCGAATTGAGTAATCAATTTTAAACAAATTTCTGGATGAGCAAGAGGCTTGAAATTTGTAAACATTACAAACTCAGAATCGGATCAGTAAATCAATAACAACGTGGTACTAATATATTAAAAAAATTTAGTACTTACATATTTTTTTAAATTTTCACTTGTAACACTCAGTATTGAATACACGTCTGTATAAAATGTTTCTTAAAACTAGTTTTAGCAATATTAATAGTAGTTAATAGATATTGTAAACACAAGTCGCTGAGTCGCTAGTCTTTTCTTTCGGGCCTACTGAAAATCAGTACTGTAGTATATGACTGCAAAAATTTAAATGAAGTCTGTTTTCTTTCAGGATCGTCCTCGATGTTATTTTTATTTACATAAATAACGAACAACAAAGGTATACAACGTTTCGTTGTGTACCTTTCTATTTGTAGTTCTATTTTATAATTAACTGAATTCCAGCGTAAAATAGCAGCTTATCAGTGCTGTGTGTATGTGTAGCGAGTATAGAGAACCGGTGACTCTTTTTACTGTAAACAAGGCATTCCATCGACTAGGATGGAACTCAGGGGTGACAACGCATCTGCATTCTGTCACACGCATTCTATAAAAAAAATTCTTGTGTTAACAGAATGTAATGTGTGCCGGGCGGCGTTTAAACCTAATCCCCTGTTTGTTTCCTGGATATCTATATATACTACTGCCTTATTCCAGATGTTTTTCCATAAATTAATTATTTTGAACTTTCTAAGATCACTAAAATAGACCAGTTATACCGCCGATATTATACATCCATCAATCAAATTTAACGAACGTTAAAAGTAAAATATTTATACAGAGGTAGCAACAATTGTCTATACATTATAAGAGAAGGAAACAGTGGAATAATCCAGACTAGTCTGCAGTTATTTTCTCTCCGTTGTCTAGCTCGATCGATCAGGCACAGCGCGATGGCAGTAGATCGTTAAAACCTATTCTTCAAATGTCTTGCAGCCGAGATATCCTCTTTAAAATTATATAAATAACTGCATACTTTGTGGCACATTCTCTACAGTAAACGTTATTCTTTATTTATAAATACAACATCTAATTGTTACCTTTAGGCTGCTTAGGTATGAAGGTGATTGTTCGGTCCTTGCACCTCATATGCTCGCCGCTGCCGTCGATCCAGATATAGGTGACGAGGATTTTGTCAGCCGGCAATGGTAGATCATTGTATCTGGTTAGTAGAGTCTTTGAGAGCACCGCGTTCGGCGAATTAGTCAAGACGGGTCCCGACAGTATTTTGGGATTATCTGTTGAAGAACAAAATTAGAATTAATCGTTGTGATAGTAATCTTAGAAACAGATAGTGCGTAGGAACGCGGTGTCATTGAACACTTAAACGCTAGCTTACGTAGCAACACACTTTGATCTAAAATCAAAATAATACATTTTTATTAGTATACTAGCTGGTCTGGCTGACGTTGTTCTACCCTTTGTCCTATAATAATCTTAAATACATATAATAAAAAATATTGAGGATTACTTATCGGGATAAAAACCATCCTATCTTCGAAGTTGGACCAAATTGCACACAGTATGCAAAATTTCATTGAAATCAGTTCCCTAGTTTAGGAGTTCATTGGGGACAAACAATGTAATACGTAATTTTTATATAAAAATATTATTTTTAGCCGTAAGTAAAAAAGTCTACCTGGGTGTCACGTGAGGCGACTGCGGGAACAGCCCATCAGTTTTTTTTAATTTTACCACTTGTTTGTGTAAGTTAAGCGATATCTTCGGCAATTTTTAGTAATCTAGATTGTAATGATTTTTTAAATTAATTTGTTATAATTTAGGGCTGGCTGGTTAAAGTGCAAATTTAAAGAAAAAATTCAACCAATGGGTGGATAAATGGGGATTCAGTCTTAAATGTAATTTTAAGTCGCCTTTATTGTTGTACTCGTATCCCTTAATTCACTTATAAGTTGCTCCAAATTATTATTAGTATAGTAATAAAATAATTTCCAAGTTATAGCTTCTGAAGTCACAGCTTTGATACTTCTTTTCTGTGTCCTGGTACCTCTTGCTGAGAAGCTATTATGTGAAAATTATTTAATTCGTTTTGTTTCTTGAAGACGGTTCTTAATTTTTATTACTTAAATATTAAACTTGAGCTAATATTTTTAAATTTTTACAAAGGGAATTTGAAATAACTTCTACTAAGTCCCGGAGGCATTTTATATACATAAATTCCACATGGATGAGCATTGAGCACCCAGATTCCGAACAAGCTCGCGTCCAAACGTACCAATTTCTACTCTACCGAGTCAAAAATGTACAATCGCCACGCTCGGAAGGCGATGAGTGATTATACCAATTATACGCGCAGATATAGATCTATATGTGTGAATAACGATTTTACACTACTTTTTTCAACCAATATGTCATAATTGTATTATTTCTAATCTAGTTTTGTATTTTCAAAATTATATAAATACGTAACTATCGAAAGTGGCAATGGGCCAGCTATTTAGGTCATGGAACCCATAACAGATCGGGAAGAAAGTTTCTTGAGTTGCAGCCACGTACCGGTAGTCAGTTTAGGTCGTCCCCCACTAGATGGAGTGAGACCTGATAAGATGCAATTAGTCGATAGATGCAGGTGAAGCTTAATGAGGGACCTATGTTCACCAGTGGACGTGTGATAGGCTATATGATGATGATAAAAATTGCGATAAAAAAAGGCGTGTGATAGGCTGTGATAGACTATAATGATGATGATAAAAATTGCCGTAGTGTTTTTAAAATTCATTATAAAAGGAAGGGATTAAAATTAATACCGATAGAAAATTGCTGTTCTATAGATTTTCAGATTTTTTAAAGGTATCTTGCCGTTAAAGGCCATTTTTTGATAAAACTGAAGCGACTAACAAACAAAAAAACTTAAAAAACGAAGAACACTACAGATGCTTTGTCACCTCTCTATTCATCAGACCGGAACACAGCATTGCCAGAATAGCTATTTGTCAACAGAAATAGGTAAGAGTGTGGTGCCTACCCAGCAATATTGCTAAGTAGGAGAGGAGGAGGGTAGTAGTATACCCAGTAGTTACCTTTTACATTAATTACACTACTAATTGCTAGGTTTTATAAAAACAATAATTCCAAAATAATAAAAATAAAACCATAACAAATATGGTTACTATATTAATATGATTTACGAGTAGTATAATTTTGTATTTTCAGTCCCTTTTTTATTTAGGTTGATTTACGGGTAGTATAACTTTGTATTTTCCCTCCCGTTTTTGTTTAGGTTGATTTACGAGTAGTATAATTTTGTATTTTCCACCCGTTTTTATTTAGGTTAATTTACGGGTAGTATAACTTTGTATTTTCCCTCTCGTTTTGTTTAGGTTGATATAGAGTTTGTGAATAGGGATCCAACTTTTTTACTGAACCTGTAGAAATACAAAAACTATAGTACCTACGTTTCAATAGATTGTGTGACGCTTGGTAAGACATGCAAGATATCGATGTGTGCAGGTGGTTCGGAAACTTAGCGTCCCTAGGGGAGGTCAATGTTCAGCAGTGGAATTGTAATAAGCTGTTGTAAAGATAATGATAATAATGTTTTTTCATTGTTTTCATTCGTTATTCATCATTGTTTTAAATAGATATATCTTTTATATTTTAAAGGAATATGTCTGCTCTGTCTAACCCTTTAGAAACAGCCTTAAGATATATTAAAATATAGTAGTTTCGCCCACGAGTGCTACATAATATTTTTCTAGAACTATATAGTTAGCAAACCTAGTTCTATAATTTATACAATTTTACGCGAGTATTTTTCGTCACTACGTTTTATATTAACGTTCATTTGAATAATCCTAATATATATATAAATTACGTTTGACGTTGTTTTCCCGCGATGGACTCCTAAACTACTTAACCGATTTTAATCAAATTTGCACACCGTGTGCAGTTTGGTCCAACTTGAGAGATAGGATAGTTTTTTGGCCACAATTTTTTTGCTAATTTAAGGATTTTTAATAGGATATGACAAAGGGTCATCGAAAAGGGCAGAACAACGTTTGCCTGACAAGCTAGTAACTATATATATATTGACAACATCAATCAATGTGCTGTCACAATATATGGAAAAGAACTTTGACAAGCAAATAAGCTTTATATATTATCGGAATCGAAATATCTGTTCTTATCTCTTCAAGGTATAGTATTGTGTATTTATGTAAATAAGTATAATTATTAATTTTTATTGACGTAGGCTCAATTACAGCTTTTATGAATAGTCAAGAGAAAAAAAAAACATTTTAACAAATAATTCTTTTACAGATAACAATTTCAATCAATGTCAAATTCAATGAGAGAAGTTAGTTTTAAATAAAAGTTTATCTGTTTCTAGTGTAGTATATTAATACACACAATATCTCAGTGTTTGCTCTTTAATTTTTTGTACATTTTTACCTCTTTTTTCTTAATTTTCTACCATTATGGAATATCTGTGGTTTGGTTTACTAATTCTTGATCTAATTAATATAAAATATAACTACCCTGCTATGAAATCTGTCAAATATTACACGTAATTTTTAAGTGGCGCTGCCGCTTAAAATGAGTAATGTACTACACTTATAATAATACAATAAGATAAATACGATATCTATGTATTGGCGGTGCGGTGTAAGAACATCCATTAACCCATATCGTACTGTGGGTGTCGTAAGTGCGGACAGGGGAAAACAAAGCAGGAGATGAGCAGGAGCAGAAAACTACTGTTTTCCATCCCGCCCGTCGAGCATGGAAACTATGGAAAATATCCTTACTGCTTCATAATTTCTGGTTCCGGTTTATGTTATAGTTTTTATTAGGATGCCTTTGTTCAGCTGGAGACTTTGATATTGTGATGAGTGAGTGAGTGAGTGAGTGAAATACGATATATGTATGTACTATGTATTAAACTAATAATCGTTGGATCTTTTTAAATGTGTACCATCTGTAAACAAAGAATGCAGTTGCGTATCATATACCACTCTTTTAAAATAATAAAGTTCAAAGCGAAGTGAGTTTTAACTAAAACAGAATAGAAATTATTTTACCGTAATTTTTAGAGGTTTTCGCTTCGCTAGATCGGATTAATTACTTTATCAATTATGAAATTACTGTTGTGAAACCACAGATGCATCATCACCCCTAAGGACTTGGCTTCATGCTTCGCTGTCTGTAATATACAGCAAGTATTTACTCTACCCTACTTTACTTTTACCCCACCAACCGTAACACGATAGTTGAACATAAAAATAGGTAAGAACTGACCCACACGGACCCTTAGGCATAAAGGAGCCAATATTAAGAAATACTTTTTTTTACTTTTTTATCCGCCATATTTATGTAACAGGCACGTTCTTAAAAACAACCAGACTTTAAATTCTTTACAAAATATATATCAGTGCATACCTGAACCAATTTTATTATTTTAATGCATATTTAATAGTAAATGTGAGCATTTTAATGATGTGAGCTCCGCTACATGAATACTAACTTTACGATGGGGATTGGGATTTTCCTACGCTGTGTAAACAGCAAATCGCTCGATTAGTCGAGCGACAAAAATACCACAGCTCCGCTAGCTGTCTGAAACTGAAAGCGCGTGCACGCGTTGGCACGCCCGCAACACGTGAGGGGATTGAACGGAATTACATATCAGTCTATGAATGAATGACTAGAGGACGTTTTGGGACAATTTACTTTTTTCCATAAATTTAAGAAATATTTCTTCAAAAATAGAAAAAGAAGTTACAGTTTACCTTCTCACAGGGAAGGTAAACTGTAACTTCTTTTTCTATTTTTCCACAGAACTTTTATAATAATATATTTTACTTCTTTTTTAATTTCTCAGACATGCAGGTTTTTTCTTTACAACCAAGTATGTGTACAAAAAACCAAAATTAATTATATGATCGGTATTAGATTCATGAAGTAAAATAATCTTACTAAGATCAAAGTAGGTCAATAGCATAAATGTTTCATCGGAGATCTTTATTTAAAGAAAATATAAAACATGGCAGCATAATATGTTTGTAGCAAGAATGGGTCGACTCAGCCGGGGAGGACAACACTCACATAGATTAAAACTGTAAAATAAGAAGAAACACAGTAGCGTTCCGTAGAGTGATTGTAGAGAATCGAAGACTCTTTTAAATGGTAACGATACATTTTGACTCTTAGTCGAGAATTAATGTAGATATTTAAAGGCCAAAGCAACCATTTACCATCAAGTAGACTGTGTGCTCGTTTTTCATCCTTATTGTATATAAAAAATAGCAACGCAATGAGGTTTTCTTTACTTAATATTTAATACTTTTGTAACATTCTTGACGGAAATCTCGGAAGATACGTGTACAAACATATTTTGATAACGGAGAGATCACGGTAGACCTCGCTGAAGTCGTATTATATGTAGCTTGTGAAGAACACGTTACCATAAATCGTCAGCGTTAAATTACAGCATAGTGATGTCGAGTTTTCACGCGAACACTATTACATTAAATTTAAATTTTTTTTTTGCGCTCACCTCAACTCAGTTCCCCCGTGACCATAAAGACTTAAAAGTACTCGAAACGTCAGGAATATGAACAAACGCGATATAATCCCTTGAAAAACTAGTTCTATATAATGCTGCTGTATTTCAAAACTTGACAGACTATAATCGGAGACCACGTCTGTGCTGAAGAGAGACAGAGGTCTTTTAGGTCGTTTTTTCTTTTACTGGTCATGAGATACTATCTTAGTTCTCCGTGTTGATAACGCTGTTACAAAATTAATTAATTATCAAATCAACTGAGTAATGTTAAAAATTTTTTGTTGTTAAAAATTCGATAAGTAATGTTGTATAAGTTACTTGACCATTAATATTTGCACACCACTGAGGTAGAATATGTAGAACGAATTATACTCTAACACCATTGTACGACCATATTCTTGCAAATAAAGATAATTATTGTTACTGCATTATCTTTAAGTGGAGTGAGTAACTCTTATAACATCTTTATATATAATTTGTTGTGACTCGTATGAAAAGAGCTACTGAAATTTGGTGTAAATTAATATAGATTAAAAATCTATTTTCAAAGATGGTACTAATTTCACTAATTAATTAGCAAAATTCTAGAACGTAGTTATTATATTCTCTTTGGTAACGTCTTCAATAAGTTTTACTATTTACGATATAAAGTAACAAACCTCCTTGGGGATCAATAACAAGTGTCTCCATTAAGTCCTATTTAATTTATATTATTTTTACCATAACATTTTTCAAATATTATTTTATGCGCAAAAAAATAGAACCACACAAAAACCTTGACACAAAACGAATAAAAATAATTATCTATGCGTGTATTAAACAATGAATCATAGTAGTAATATAAACAAAAGATTTCTATAGGCAATGAAACAGAATCACATTGTAGCTTTATCACACATATCATTATTCACAATGGCAATGTCAGTGCCATTGTAATAGCTTTTTTTTCTTTAAATTTATATTGAATCAAAAGTGGCCTGTTAATATTAAACAATATAGACATATACCCGAAACCTTTCTTATAATACCTATACGATTTTTTGGTTCAAGTCATTCGTTCGCTAAAATACAAAAAATAATGAAAACTTTGATTAGACAGGTATATAATAAATAATAAAAATATATATTTTAATGAAAACTGACTGGGAGACGTTTAGCTTCGTTAGTACAAGCAGAAGTACAAGCTAAACCGTAGTGGGACGTACGGTCTAGCTTGTACGTCCTACTAGTTAGTAATGGGATGTTACAACAAATAAGAAATGCAAGGTCGAGAAACACTAATATATCACTGGAGGTTGTCTGGTAAAACTGATAAATTATGTAAGCTTGTATTTTTTTTTTTCAAAACACATATTTTTAGTATGATTATTATTTCAGGTTCAGATACTTCCTTTGATGCATGATTCCATTATGTCGCTAATATGATCACAAATAAAACGAATTTTGTAACTCACCTTCCACCTTTCCGTGTGTGGTCTCAGACATTGTCGCGAGTTCTGGATCCTGAAACAAAAAAATCAATGGTTATATAATGTTTTCAGAGATGATGACACATTAAAAAATGTTGATATTAATATTAATGTATTAACATAAAACACGAATATTTATTTGCTTTAATAAATGTCTACAATAAAAAAGTAATTCAATATTTAACCTATGTTTAATTAAATTATTATTTTTGATTATTTAATAATTTATTACTTATTACATTTCAATAACATAATATCAACAATTATTAGTATTGAAATAAAGTATAGTATTATTACTTATATTATAGTATTATAACAAAACATTGTATAAGTATAATATGTGTAAAAACCACATAATATATTACATTATATGATCGATATACAACGATAGATATAGTAGGTATATAGAACTATAGATATATAATTAGTTGCAACCTCTTGCTATATGTACTCGTATAAAGAGGGGAAATTACGTAAGCGAAAAAGTGATCGATAAATGACAAGCGAACATTCCATTATTAAAAGTAGTCTACTGTTAAAGTGTCTTACTTCTTTTAATGGAGTGTACTTTAGGTTACATTGTGATTTCTAATTTTTTTGCATGAATACTTACTAACTCACTAAAACAAATTTTCTCGAATTTCATCACAACTAATTTACGTTGTCTTAAGTTTCCTTTAGACAATTTAAAAACATTCCGTACAATAATAACGACATTAATTATAATAACATAAAGTAATTAATGTCGTTATTAAATTTTATTTTTTGTCAACTGATTGCGTATATTGAGGCATCGTGTTTTAAGTCAAACAAAACTAACATGTAACAATAAATACAAATAGATAAAAATATGGCTCCACTTTACTCTAAAAATGAGCAGTAAAATATACATTAATTTTGAGGAGTTATATATGTATCTTCACACAGTTAAAATTAAATAAATCCCACATAGAGTTTTAAATAGCTGGCAACCTCACGTAAAGCGTTATCCGCAAAGTGTTCCGAGGACACCGAGTTTAGTGCATCATAAATGCAACTAAAGAAAAAAATATTTCACACAACACACACAAACGATAAATTACTATTAGTGTTTGTGTATTTTACATAAATTGCTTACATTATACTTTTTCATACATAATTATCTTTTAAAATATTTATTACATTTTTATTACAAACTTGTTCTCGTTTGACGATACTTTCATCAAGAAAATCGATACTTATGTTAAAAAACAAACTTTATTATGGAGGTACTTCGTGGTATTTACTAAGCGATGTAGTGGTTGCGTCAGAGGATTCACTATATTACCATAATATCACATCGGGGAGTGTCGTAATTAAGGTGACACCAGCCACGACTCGCTACTGTGGAAAATGTTCCCCCTACGAAGATCTTGTATAAGCGGTTCAAGATACTTAAATTCGAACGTCCCAAAAATCCGTATTTTATAAATGTCTTTTTCCTTTACTTCAAATGAAATTTGAAGTTATCAGAAAGGTTGTGGGGCATAAAATTTTTAAAAGTTCAACCTTAATTATGTAACTTATATGATATATATTATGCCCAAAAATCAGAACATATTATCGACAATTTTCGATATATGCAATTCATCGAATTGCATAGATCTCGTAAACCTGAGAAGAAGTTTTACCGAAGACTTCATTTCTGAAAAATTTTATGCTTCACACTTTTCTAATTTACTTTTCACTTTTCTATGTACACCAAATATCATATGAATAAAAGCTAACAAGATATTTAAAAAAAATATGATTTCATGGACCTTCGACCTTGAATATCTTGAGCGAGTCATTTACAATGTCATTTGATATAAAAAACAGAATATTTCCAGAAAAATATTTGGTTTCAGGGACTTATGACCTTGAATATTTTGACTCGAGCTGACTTGACACTTTTGCGGTAACGTATAAAATCGTTAAAAAAAGTCGTACATCTCAAATATAACACAAAGTTTGTAGATTATTATCTCGCAATCGGAGGTTGACTTTTTTCACCTTATTTGACTGGACTCAGATAAAATACGAGGTTAGTGTATTTATAGCTAGTACGTACGTTCGAAAATACGCTGGCTGATACCAGTATATACTGAGACCATGTGCTGAAGGAGGTAAAACTGATAAGTTTTCCTTATTCCATTATCCTCTCAAGTTTATATCTTATTACCTCTCATATCGAGGTTAAATACTTTTTACATTAAATACCTATTTGACTGGAATATTTCTGTAACACCGGCTTTTTAAAGATATTTGCCTTTACAGCAAGGTTTATATTGAATCATATTATATTATACTTATGTGACCGATGTTATATTATATATATATTTTCCTTGAAATTTTGAGAAGAATTAAGTTATTATTGTCGAAAATAAGGTAAGGTCATAATAATGTGCCAAACACAATGAACCGTCAGTGGTTCACACGTTCATTTACATAACAGTGTAACATCTACTTTAGAAATAATATTATATTATATTCCGGTTATCCATTATTTTGAAGAGAAGGCGCTATTATGGTTTGTGGGGACTGCTACCACTCTACCTCTACTTAACTCCGCTGTCAATTGTGATTTGTGTTCATTATTAGCTCTAAAATGATAATACGTGGTAGAGCCATGCTGCAGTTATATTAGTAGTATAGTTGTAGCGCGAATGGGTCGGCACGACCGGGGAACCTCGACCACGCTCTCACAGAATACCAGAGTGAAATAGTAGCTTAATGCTGCTGTATTTCGTATGGTGAGTGTAGAGAACCGGAGACCCTTTTTACTGGAAACGAGGCATTCCATCTTAGTCCTCACGGGTGACAACGCATTTGCATTTTGATTCGTAATCGAGGATGGATGTGGATGTCTATGGGCCACAGCAACCACTTGCCATCAGGTGGACTGTGTACTCGTTTGTCAACCTATCCCACTATAAAAAAAAATGAGATTAAAAGAATTTTAATCCATTTCTACCATGATGATGTCTCAAATTCACAGCTCAAAGGTTATAAAGTGCGAAGTATATAATATTAATTCTTGTTTACGTGGTTCAGCCACGCTGCAGCTATGTTATGGTTGTAGCACGAACGGGTCGGCTCGACCGGGGCAGGACCTCCCTCACAAAATACTAGCGTTATATAGTAGCCTAATATTGATGTGTTTCGTATGGTGAGTGTAGAGATCCGAAGACCCTTTATTACTGGAAACGAGGCATTCCATCTTAGTCCTCAGGGGCGACAACGCATCTACGTTTTGATTCTTAATCGAGGATACATGTAGGTATCTACGGGCCACAGCATCCACTTACCATCAGGTGGGCTGAGTGCTCGTTTGTCGCCCTTATTTTATAAAAAAAATATCCGTTACAGCATTATATAAAATTCACTGCAAGGTAGACTTCCTCATAAGGAGGACCTCTCCCACAGTTGCAACGCTTGTAACCGGGTTGCAAGCACAGTTTATTTTTAATTCTTATTATGAAATAGCTGCCCATCTCCTGATTTATCACCTTTGTCTCTGTCACCTTTTACTACACCCACGAGACGTTATGGGGTAAGGCATATTCTTATATAACCACTACACGGGCAAATACTAAAATTAGTACCCAGGTAGTAGTACTAGTATAGTATCTAATTTTATTTTTCAATGTTAATTACTGTGAACTTATTACCTAGCGCTAATTGCTCTTTAATTATTTTTTTATATGTTTTATACATTTTATATTAATAACTAAAATAATTTAAAACGCATTATTCTGAATTAAAATTACAATTATTTAGAATTGTCCATACGATAATTGGATTGTTTTTAAAGAAAAAATATATAAAGTGTTTTCAATCATCAGTAATGGCTGGAAGTTATTAGGGGCCACTTTAAAAGTGTAACAGTAAGTAAAATAAATCCAAATTGATTCACTGTAACATCTCAATATCATACCATTTAAATTAAAAGGATTAATATAGAGTGTGATTGATAACCCCTCCTTTGTATCGTCTAAAAATACTCAACTGCGTGTTTGAATAACACATCTCGTATCATTTAATAGGATTATGATAATAATAATGATTTATTATCTAGCTGAAAGAGGAAAATATATCTAAAAACTATTAAAATGAAAAAAAAATATTCTAACCTGTGATTCTAAATAGTGAGCGAGCAAACAGAATTCGATCCTCGTATTCGAACCACGTAATTATGTAATGTAATTTTAATTGTTGATTTACAAGCGTTCAGTGGTGAAAGTAATAATAATATAATAATGTCTTTTAAGTTGACATTAATTCATTGGCCAGTTCGAACGGAGCCTACTGCGTAAAACAGGATAATCGTTTTTTTTTTTACTTTTTTTTATAAGCCAGTACTTGACCGTAATCCCACCTGGTGGTAAGTGGTGCCACCGCACCCGAGCAATAGTGCACGAGTTTGTGCGCAACCCCTACAGGAGTACCCTCGTAGTCCACTAGGACCGCAATTCGGCAAGATTAGAATGGGATCAGGCCCAAGACCAACGGCTTTACGGTCTGTCCGAGGCGCGGGGGCGAAACACCGGTAACTTTAAGACTCCGGACTACTATTGAGATCGGCTTTTGCGGTCTGTCCGAGGCGCGGGGGCGAAACACCGCTAACTTTAAGACTCCGGACTACTATTGAGATCGGCTTTACGGTCTGTCCGAGGCGCGGGGGCGAAACACCGCTAACTTTAAGACTCCGGACTACTATTGAGATTGGCTTTACAGTCTGTCCGAGGCGCGGGGGCGAAACACCGCTAACTTTAAGACTCCGGACTACTATTGAGATCGGCTTTACGGTCTGTCCGAGGCGTGGGGGCGAAACACCGCTAATTTTAAGACTCCGGACTACTATTGAGATTTTCTTCACAGAAAAACCTAATAATTGATTTTGGTCCGACCCGGGATTCGAAACCAGGTATCTCATGGTTGCGACGGAGCAATTTAACAAAAGATTAAGGATAACATCGTGAAGAACCTTGCATATATAAGAAATAAGAAACATTCCGAGAACATGTAACATCCAAC